GGGGGGGGGGGGGGGGGGGGGGGGGGGGGGGGGGGGGGGGGGGGGGGGGGGGGGGGGGGGGGGGGGGGGGGGGGGGGGGGGGGGGGGGGGGGGGGGGGGGGGGGGGGGGGGGGGGGGGGGGGGGGGGGGGGGGGGGGGGGGGGGGGAGGAAGAGGAGGTAGCTTGGACATTATCAAAATAGAGAGCCAACATTATCTAGCACAGTATCAATTTCAAACATGGACACACTTTGGGCACACGATGAAGTGTATGATACATCTTATTATTATTTTATAGTTTCTGACACATTGGAGATACGCTAAAATATGTGTCTCAAGAGGGCATGCTTAGGATATGCGAAAAACACATTTGTGTTGGGAATATAGAGGAAAATATTGAAGCATGACAGCTTAGACATCCAAAGTCAAGAAAGAACATTTACATCCAAGAGCTAAGACATAAATAACTTTTGGATTTGATGGGAAAGACAAAAAGAATTAGATAAAATCATAAACTTTTCAATTAATTCACTTGATAATGCTTATGACGAGGCACAACAAGGTATAAGAAATAAGAATGATGTTGTGGGTTTCTTTTTCTTCTTCTTCCTCTTTGAAATATTTTTGCAACTCTGAAGTCTGATGCTTCATAAAAGTATGGATGCATCTTCAGAGAAATGCAAATCAGCTACTTCATTAATATGTTGTCTGTCATTACGGAAAAAAAATTACATTTTCATTAAATCTTATAACCTATTAATATAAATGGTAATTTAACTAAAATAACTGTGGGGAATGTTAAAGCAATTTTAGGGAGCTTATGTTTGCAAAGAAATAGTAGAATTTCAAGGGGTGTTTCAAGAGAACAGGAAGAAGTATTTGAATGTGCAAAAACTTGGCTGTTCATAATGGATTTCTACAGATAAAGATTTTTGTAGTTATCCCTTTTCAGTTATTGCTTCGATTAGGAAGCTTTCTTGTACTTATAATATATGGGAGGACGGTGAATCTTTTTCAGGGATTTTGGGAGGTCTGATGCAAGTGTGGATGTACCCTTTGGAACTTTACTTAACTTGCTACCATAAAAAAAATATCTACATTATCATCTTTTAACCCTCCCGATAGTCTTTGAGATTATTCAGTCTTAAAATTTTATGTTTGAAGTACATAGAATTTAAATTATTCATATTGCTTTCCACCATTAAGAAAGATGCCAAGAGTGGCTTAACTTGAACAAGATTTCTTTGTTGTTTCACATTCCTATCGAGTTCAAAGATAAACAAGAAAACCCCAAGAAAAATGGAACAATCAGATCAGTAGCTGATGTGAATTGTGATCCTTCAAAACTCTATAGATCTATAGAGCAAATTATTTTGAGGTTTATTAAGAATTTGAAGATACAGTCAGAATATTCTGGTGTGACTAGACTTCCCATGTAGCACATAAGATATCACGATAAACTGAATATAAAAAGGATCAGAACAAAATGGGATCAAGATACTATAGATGGCTCATAGCAGAGCTGGAAAAATGCAAAACTTGGATTTTCAAATGAGTAAGCCAAAGCAAGGATCGACCATAGGTCCACTGCTACCCTGTTTCTCACATTCCAGTTTATAATTTAATGTTATGCCAAGGAATGGGAGTCACCTTTTGGGCTTCACCATCAAGCCAAGTGAAGGACAAACGTTTGTTTTTTAGTGCAACTGCAGCTGGAGATACCATTGGGCCTTCATCAGCTTCGTAAGCTTCACTATCAGTAGTTAAAGTTTCTTTAACCCTGCGTATTGTCTAACTTTTACACAATTACAACATTCCTAACAAGTAAAATAAATAGTTTGCATAGATATAAATTTGAGCTGGCTTATCACAACTTGATTTAAGTGTTTTTATAGTGTAACATCATCCTATGTGCACTTCACGTAGAGGTGTGGACAAAGAATTAGCTTCGGCCGGTACCACAAGACACTATAATCCCCACGAAATCATCAGGAGTAATTTAAGATATCATGTTCTCAACTAAGATTGCAACACCTATGATGCTATTATGAGAGAACATATTCATCAAGAAAAACCTAACACTACCTAACTTTTGAGAGAATCAATTATTCAATGATAAATAATGCTGTGCAACTTCAGAAATCTTCAAATTAAATATTGATAGTATTACTCAAAATTTATCTTAAATAATGAATATTTTTCTTGTTAGTACATACGTACAATATGTTTAGTGGCTAGTATATTTAAAAAAATTAGGATAATTTGTCTTTTAGTAACGAAATTTATCTTTCAACTTCTTAGGCAATAACGAGAACACCCCTAAAATCCCATGGTTAACATACAAATCTAATCAAATTGTAATTACAAATCCTTAAAACTAAATTATCATTTCAAATTTATATACTCCGTTTCAAATTTGATGAACGACAACCACTGCCACCACTGATGCAAGAAAACTAATCATAGGAAAAAAGCTTACTTCACGCATTTTGTTGAGTTCTGTACCCAGTCTTCCAGCTATAATAGCACAGTACCACGTCAATGTTTCAGATCCAGCACGAGAATAACCACGAGCATCGCATCCCAGCTCCATTGATGTCCGACTTCTTAATTGAGGAATTGCTTAAAAAGACAAGTAGAACAAGAATTGTAGTTTAAGAAAATGGATTACAGAAAAGTAAGCATAAAATAATTTAAGAGTAACATGTAAAAAAGCCTAAAAAAAACTAATGAACTTCCACAAATTATTATGCATGAAAAACTCTAAGAAATCATTGTGCTGTTGATTCAATAGAACAAATGAATTGACCTATTACCAAAAGGAGAATCTAAAGAAACTATGGTACCTTGTTGTTTATTCTGTTCAATAAGCTGTACAAATGAGGTACTGTTGATAGAGCCTGATGCAAGAAGTGCAGTAGTCAAATAATGCACGTAGCAAAGTATAAAGAGAATGCACACAAATGGTATAAGGCACGAAAAAAAAAAGAAGAAAAAAAGTCATATACCATGGTGCACAATAGGCTTCACCCCTGGATCTTTCAAGAATATCATAGCAGGTGCAAATTCCACCCCAAACCTAGGTTCAAACATAAATACGCCATCAAGTTCTGATGGAAACAAAACAGCAATTACAGGAAGAAGCTTTTAGTGGTAAAATTAAAACTAACCACAAATTTTAAGACATACCAGCAACCGAGTTTTACGTAGAAAGACGATACTAAATATAAACAGACTACAAGCAAATAGTGCACCACGCATCAAAGGAAAAGAGAGGACCATGCACTCACGCATCCAACCAGACAGATGAATCCTCTTCTCGCCAAAGCACAAATGCAAATGAAACTGAATCCCAGTAGTTCTTAGCAGTTTGACGTATGAATGGTACAGCACGTTCTCCAGTTTCTGAGAAAATAATAACTTTGACCTATTTTCCAGTAGAAAGATTGTACATTGATGTCAGCTAATTAGGAATCAATGCAACTTGAGGAAGCAGAGCTCAAATCAATACATTATCAACAATTACAAAGTTACATGTAATCGTACTTCTATAGTTCTTAAAATAAAGGAGAAGAGGGGGGAGGTAGAGAAAGGTAAGCAATAAATAATACCTTGTGGGGACTACTCTTTGCCAAAAAGTTTTGTCCCTGAGAGTGAAAACCATCCATACATCAATCTAATGTGAACAACTGGTGAAAGTACTACCATCAAATTAAAACTTGTGGATATAATCTGATGGTACCATCAAAGAAAATAATAATAAAAAAGCAGCAAACTAAAAATATTCTGGACCAAGATTGTAGAATAGGCGCAAAAACTGTAACACTGACATAGAACACCATGGCCACCCAATACATTTAACCATGGAAAAAGAAAAATAAATAAAACTATGAAATCCTGAATAGTGAGCATTACCAATGTGTCCTTTGAGTAGTAAAGAATTCGAGGTAGATGCAGTACAGTTGTTGCAACCCAATCTGTAATATCATCAGCAGAAAGCTCCCCATCGAACCTAGGAAGAAATATATTCAAATACTTCAAAAAGAGATTTGTAATAGAGAAACGAGGATTTGTATCTGCATGAAGTGTAAGGTATAAATTAAAATTACCCTTTTGCCAAAAAAAATGTACAAGGATTCATACTGATGTTAAGGATTACTGATGTAGCTTATGGTGGAGTAAAGTTAAATGCTTGCATTTGGACTTTTAACACTAAACATAATTACATGTCCCTCTTTGATTTGGCCAGCTGGAAGCTTATTCAACTCACCTAGCGCTCAAGGGTAATTCAAAGAAACCATAGCCTATTCTTTAGTATACTTGTTCGTTTTCCAGAAAGGAAGAGTTCCACAATTGATCTACAATCTAAGCTTGAAATTTGAACCCCATTGAAAACTCCATTACCTATTAATGCAATCAACTGATTTACAACCGAGAGGAAAGGCAACAAGTGATGGTAGTCCTGCATATTATAAAATGAAGAACATATGAAGTAGAGAAATACCCACAGAAAGAAAAAATCAAGACATATTGTACAGTTATAAATTATGAAAAGCAGTAAAAATTAGGCTATTTAAATTTAATGATAGACGTCTACATAGAAGAGCGTATTTAGAGTTAACGAGAGACATCTATAGAAGAGTGTTTCTTAGATCTCCTTTCTTTCATATATAACAATATGCCCCATTATTTTATTCCTATAATAAACCAATTCACAGGAAAGTAACTAAGAAAACAACACAGTTAATGAACAAATCAGAGTAAAATAACAAATAACCACGTAATACAGAATACATATGTAAATAAGATTCTAGTTGTTATTTAGTATCACATAATGAATCAAAATCGCGTAGATTTAATTCTTTGATTCTTATAGAATCCTGTGTAATGAAATAGAACAAATTGATGAGGTCCTTCAGAATAAGAACCAAATAAGAACTGTAACCATGGATAAACTCAGAACTTCACCATTCAATTTCGATATCTTTATACAAGCTTTTAAGCTTTGCATCTTTATAAGTTCACAAAGAACACAGCCAGAGATAGTCGCAGAGGGAAAAAAAGGCGTCCAATCAAGTTATTCTCTCCAATTCCTTTATAGAACTATGGACTTGGGAGACTGAAGCTGCGTTTGCCATTGATTTTGAAGATCATGAGAGTGATTATAAAAGACATTTAACCAATTTGTGTTTGGTAAAACTGATTATAAAATTACTGTTTCAATACGTTGAGTTGTAAACGACACTAAGTAACTTTTCAGTTTAGCTTTCTAACTAAGCATTTAATTCTCCCATAGCTCCACTTTGTTGAGACATGATTCACCATCGATCCTCATTTTTTTTTAAATTTAATTTGTTTCCTCTGTTATCTTATTTTAATTCCATTGAATTTATTTTTCTTACTTTTTTTAAATTTAAATTGAAGTGACATTTTTTCTTGTTTCTCTTATCAAAATAGAGAAAATCTAGACTAAACACAGTATTATAATTTAAATTATATGAAATTTAAATTAATTCTCATAAAAACTTTAAAATTAAATATCAAACTAGCAATATGCAATGCAGATTTTCGTTATTTATAGTCCAGCTGTAACAAAATAGTATTAACTTTCCAAACACATTAACCTATTCTTTCTTCTTTAAAGCTGAAACTTACCAAAAACTGATTTACTTTATATTACAGTGATTTTTATAAAAGCAGAACTGATAACAATTATTTTAGAAGCTACAACAATTCAAACTAAGCCTAAATATAAACTTACCGTTCCTAAAGAACGGTTGTCCAGTAGGCTTTTTCTCTGCAAAGTAAGCAGCAAGTTGAGCTTCACCAAGCTCCACTACTGCAGTATTAGCAACTCCATCCAGCAAAGTAACTGAGAATGAACATATATGAAAATATAACAAATTGTTACAGAAAAATATAAGTATATACTCAAAGTAATGGACCATTAATGCTAGTATGTTCAATCCACCAAGGAAGCAGGAGTGAAGGAAGAGGGAGGGAGATTTCTTAAGATTCATGCAACCTCGTCTGGAAGATAGCAGATGGTGGGAAGAATTTCAAACTGGTTTCTCCCCCCACCCAGAAGTCCTGCCAAAAATAGGAAATAATTCATCCCCAATGGAACATTTTACAAACTGGGAGAAGAGGAAAACCCAGCAATGTAGCTTTTCAAGGGTTTCTAGAACACCCTTTAAGCCAATTGCCAAAAAAAACCACTCGAAGGGGTGAGTCATACTTAGAATGACTCTGTGCCACAAAGTCCCGACCTCTTGCTAAATAGCCTCATTCCAAAGGCCATGAAACCACCTCCAAACCGATTAAGTGTGACCCCTCACCTCTCCTATAAAAAATTTAGACTTTTTCCAGATTTTTACTCATTGACATAGGGATTTTAAGAAGGGAAAGGTAATACACAAAAATTTCAATCAAGACAGCTAGGATAAGGGAAGTCTCCCTCCCTTGGAAAAGGAAGCCTTTTTTTCAAAAAGACAGACACTTCATAAACTTCTCCATGACCAAATTCCAAAATGAAACACACCTCAAATCATCACCTAAAGGAAGCCCAAGGTACAAGGCAAGAGATTCACCTCACAACCCACCCTAGACGAACAAGATGATTAGTAAAGTTGGAGTTTCATTGGGAGATACTGAGGTTTCAACACCTCCCTTGGCTGTTTGTAACTAGAGCTTGGGAGATTTTTGTAAAGCTGAAATTTCAAATTTTAACAATTGTCATCAATGAATTCATTGGGAAGCAGCATTGTCATCAATATCTCTCAATAAACTTAATAGAGAAGTCATAGAAAAGCCATTTGGGCCAAGGGAATTATCTCGATCAAACAAAAAATCTACTATCCTGATCTCCTCTAAGGTAAAAGGTGCTTCAAACATATTATTATTACTAACAATGATATGACACCAATCTAACTCCTTCAAAGGTTAATGCGGATGGGGGAGCTTACAAATCTGGAGAGAGAGTACGAGAGGGAGAGAGAGAGAGAAAATATGTTTTTTCAACAATTTCAGTCTCTTTGTCAATCACCTCATCAAAGGAAACCCTTCATAGGTGACTTTCTTGAGCTTGATACCCCCAAAATTAGTGTGATTCCAAACTCTCAAATGCTCTTTAAGGGACCTTAACTTCCTTATAAAGAAAAAATAATAATAAAATACCTTTCCACTTACCCATCACCCAGAATTCCACCACAAATTTAAAAGATGGATTGGAAAGCCACATATTTTTTAATCAAAATGCACTTGGGCCCCATTTGTGATGACCAGACTCAAAGGAAATGAGCCAATGGTCTGACAGACTTCTAGGGCCTAGAGACTGTTTAGAGCTAAGGAGTAAATCCAACCACCCGTTGGAAAAAAGGAACTCATCGAGTCTGCAACACACCATCTTATGCCTCAGGTTGGACCAAGTGAAAGTTCCATTACTAAAGGCAGATCAATGAGATTATAGTCCTCAAAGAATCTATTGAAACTTTCATGGACTTGGTGCCTCTGCCTCCACTCAAATTTTAAAGGAAACCTAGTATCAATGAAGCCACCAAGACTCCAACATTCAACACAAATACCAACGAGATTACAAAACTCATCCCAAAAAGCCTCTAATACCTTAATAAAGTCACCAACCGGACTCCAACATTCAACACAAATACCAACAAGATTACGAAACTCATCCCAAATAGCCTCTCTAGTACCTCAGGATGGACTTCTCTCCAAAAAGAGTTTCAAATTATGATCTTGTTATTGTGAGATGGTTTTGTGACTTCTTCGGCTTATGTTGGTTTTTTGTGTAAATTCACTTTTCTTGACATTTATTTAATGGTGTACATCAAAATAAGAAAACTTTTCTCCCCCCTCCCCAATGTAAAAATTTCTCATCCATTAAATATGGAATTCAGATGAAGTACGTACCAATTCTTTTCCAAACATCAGAAAATTGGGCGCAGAGTTTGCTTCCAAATGAATACAACTGAAAAAAAAAAATCAACAACAAGAAATTTAGATCCCAAGCTATTCTGTCACCACCACTATAATATATACTTGCTGGGAGCGAGGGAAAACAAAAGCCTAAAGGAGTTATCCAAGTTTTTAAAAGCTCCCAATTTGAAAAAATAATATTACAATACGTTGGCTGAGTGCACCATGTTAACTCTAATATTAGTAAGCCAGACCTTAAAATATATATATATATAAGCAATCATCCTATTCACCTAAAATAACTATACGACAGGTTGAGGAGAGGGAGAACAACACTGGAGAACCGGATAAAATTCAAGAGTGGAAAGAATGCAAGCAACCTAACTTGAATGCTTGCTTCAGAATAATACTCGTGTCAGTTCTAGATGAGTAATAAATAACGATAACTGGATATTTATAAATCAGTAACGTACAATAAAATAACAGTAAATTTAAATGTCTTCCTTCATATACATAATCCTGGCTAAAAGAAACTTCGAAAGATAAGCATACATTACGTAACTTTCTTTTCTTTTAATACTAACATAAAGCGTAATAATCTACATCCTTTAATAACCAAACAAAAAGCACATAGAATGAATCACTTGATCTTGTATGGAAAATATTGTGCAATTCGTTTATCTTAGAATCTCAAACTATAAGGGCTTCCTTGAAAAAAGGGTTGGCAACACATATGCACTGCAAAATTCTTAATTAAGAATTACCATAATTACTGATGCCTTATCATGATTAAATAAAGATCGAACATCATTGGATGTAATGAAATTAAGGTTGTGGTCTTCAGTATCTGCACCAGATAGGGGATAAATACATCAGCGTTTCACATAAAAAAAAATAATAAAAAAAACTTAATAGAAGCTGTAATGATTGTAAATGGAACTCACTTAAATCAACTTCATCTAACAATGGAAGACTTATTTCTGAAAACTTTTTTCCTGCATATTGCACTTTGACCTTTTCAAGAACACCCTGCATCCATTATGTTAATTGTTAAGTAAACTAATATAAAAATAATAATAACACAAATTATTTATCAACTACTCACCTGTTGTTCATCGATGCCAAAAAGATCATAATTACGTTTCCATAAATTATTTTTTAGCAATTCATAAGCATATTGAACCTGCAAATCAAGGCAAGGTTAAAAACTTACTGCGGACAACCCATGATAAGAAGACTAAAATAGTGAATTTTTCGCCATAAAATTATAATACGAAGTATATACATACGGTGCAACCTAATAATCTAGCTTTGGTGTCTGAGTCCACCTTCCAACTACATACATTAGCTAAATGTACTTGGAGAGGTACAGTGTTTCAAATGACATACAAAATTTTGAAGGTACAGTATTTCAAATAACATACAAAATTTTAATTTAAAATTCAATTTCATGCTTAATGGTTAGAATCACGAGCAGAGTTAATCAATTTATTTTATTTAGACATTTTTGTTATAAGAAGCAACTTGAATGAAAGAAAGAAAGAAAATGGAAGTAAAGATAAAGACATCCATCTAAGGAAGCTAGGGTGATTCCCGAAACAAACTCGAACAAATCAATACATGAAATGGATAATCATGACTAAGATTGAACAATGTTACTTATGACAGTTTAAAAACGATCTTTTCATTAACATGCATAATTTATGTCAAACCATCAATATTGAAGTTCAGAGAAAGAAGAAAAACAAAGTCAATAATCAATAACAATATATAGAGGATCAAACGGATTGAGACCCACTGCCTAATGAGGATCCTATACAGTTCAGCATAAATAGTTAGATAAAATGCACCTCATTTCCCCAACATTGGATGGAAATCTATATCATGCAGGAGGGAAAAAGTACAATGCAACATTAACAGCAAAAATCAAATGTAGGCAACGGGCATGCTTACCAACTGGAATATTTTAAAAGTTTGTATCATTTACATTTAAATCAGACAAAAATACTTAAAACAAGAAATCCCTCTCATCGTACTATGCAACAAAAGAAAGCTTAGACAATATTATTGAAAAGGTTTAAACTATAAATTCATGTACTTTTATAATGGTATCTGTTAAGTAAAATTTCATTTATGTTCCTCAACTTCAAATAAGCTAGTTTCCAGTTCTTGCAGTTTTGATGGAAGGTTAACATGACAACTCCAGTAGATAAAATTTGAATGAGTTGCCTGATTGACTGGATAACAAATTTTGATAAATGAACACAAACAAACAATTGGCCTTTAGTCTTAGTTCTAACCTGTTGTACTCAACTGCAAAATCCTACCACCAATCCCATCCAAAATCTAATTTAGCCCTAATTTTATTAAATCATTCCATAGCAATTTGTCCGACTAAATGTTATTATTCTTTCTCCTCACGCACCATTCAAAATTCTAGACGCGCAGGGACTAAAAGACAAAATGTTCAAAGTATACGACCAGCACTAAGGAGAAAAGTAATGACAGAAGATCCAACTCAAGTATTCCTAATAATAAGACTCTAATATATGTACCACAAAAGATGACCAAAATGGGATCACTATCAGGATTTCACTAAGTTTAAATTTTGGATGATTTGACAAGAAGGATGCGACTTCTGGAGAACAAATTAAAAACGACTGACCTTTATAAAATCGACAGCCTTGGGAACTTCAAGTCCTGGATCCCTGAAATAGGAAAAAAATCCAGAGATACTAAAAAAATGTGGCATCAATATAATTTCTCACCAGATGATCCTCAATCAGGTTTGAGATTCGTAACGATTAGTGAAACACAATTTAGCTTACTAATTTCAAAATCGAACATAATGTATAATGGCACGACAATACCAATAAAGAAAAACTGTTGAAAAATTACCACTTGACTGAGAGCTTTTCGTATGCTTCTTTCACTTCATCAACGGGACTAAACCTCTTAATTCCCAAAACTAAAACATAAGAACATACAATAATGACCAAATAATTCCAGGAAAAAAAACGAAATTTACTTCGTATATTAATCGTTAAAGAAGTTTTTACAGTGAATTTCTTTCTGATGTCTCACCGTCGTAATGTGAGGTAGGAAAGGAGGTAGGAATAACAACAAGCTGATAAAACACGGCTACGGAAAAGAGAATCAACGGCACGGAGTAGGCTTTGATTGTCGAGGCCATTGAGAACGCCGGCACCGCCGGTTTTGATGTATGCTTGTTATTCGTTTACGAAACTTGACCAGCAACCTCGACACAACGAAGAAGTTAATAAAATTACAGGCAGAAGGATTCCGTGGCCGGAAAACAGTGCAAGCGAAGCGGTCACAACGATCGGAAGCTCAGTTTTGTATGTCCAACGCGGGAGCAGGGAAAACGATGATCCGTTCCTGCGCGAAATTGCAACTTGCAATGAGATTTCAGTCCGGAAATCCCGATGATGAACTGGGCTGAGCCGGCCCAATAACTTTTGGAAATTTTCGCAGCTGTCCTTCCACTCGAATTACCAAAAATATTTATAACCTTCCAAAGATTTTTAAACCTGTACAGCTAAGGTGGAACCAAATATCATACACATCCAATGTCATATTAAAAGAATTTAATTAATAAATTTACATTTTACAATTTTGTTTATTATTAATAGGAAGTTCACATTTGCTCTTATTTTTAAACCTACATATAAAAAATATATATATATATAAATTTTATCATTCAAAGCTTTAAAACAAAACAACGATAAAATATTCAATTGTCAAACATAAATAAAATCAAATAAAATATTAAAATGATGTCATAATTGATGTCTTGTCTTTAGGTTATATATAAGTAGACCATTGTTTCTCTATATATTTGGGATAATTTTAATTTTTTTTTCTTTTTTTAATTTTTAAGTTAATTAGAGTGGGTAACATCAAATATTATATTTATATTTATCTTTTTTTTATTGTAATTTGTAAAGTGAGGGTTTTTTTAATAAAATGTTGAATATATTCTATTGTGTAGTGTAACTCCTCGATCTAAATTATTGGGTTATTGGTTGACAGTGGGGCAACAATTTGTATGCCACCTGGTTTGAAGACCAAGTCAACCCACGACACGTCAGACTTTGGTTTGCTTCCAATAAAATCTCGTGCAAATTTTTAAAAAATAGGCGACAATGATATTAAAAATATAAAATAAACGACGAGACTATTTTAATGCGACGTCGTACGACTGGATAGGATGGAGTATAAATATTATATTAAGATATTGGTCAAATTTTGAAAGATATGATCCGATGCTGAGAGTGAGATTCATAACAAATCCATAATTCTCACAGACCAATCATTTGCATCCACTTGTCATTTCCCGTAAATAAGCAGGAGTGGGACCCGCTTACAACGTGGTGACGTGGCTGGTAAGAGCCGACGAGTGGGCAAAAGAAGGTGTACGTATTTTGACGGCTTGGCGGTGACGCAGCGACGACGTGAACCTTCCCGCCCTGCCCCCAATTGGAAATGGGCAGGTAAAAAAAAGTAGTGGCCATGCTGACGACGTGTCGATCATTAGAGAAGGGTGTAATTGTAAATGGCCATTGGTAGTGGCGGGCCCCACGCTGAGTCAATCTCCGCCGTTCGTGTCTACTTTTACTTTTTACCCATCATAATCGGAGCTTATGAACGAATTAGGACAGGGCTGCGGCTTGATATATTGTCAAAATAATAATAGTTTTTTTTTTAATTAAAAAATATATTGAATTCTAATTTCTAAACATTTTCTATTCTATTGTTTTTATTTATTTTTAAATATATGATTTTTATAAATATTTATCATACAAAAAATATATATATATATTGGTAACTAAAGTTACTAACTCCATTTTTTGTATTAAATCATTTTTTTGATTTTTTATAATCCATTTTTGAGTTAATTAGATTAATATAATGCTTAGATATTGACGACTTTAAAAATTTGCTAATTAGTCCGTATTTTTTTCAATTTTATATTAAAAACTTTTAAAAAAAAATATATATAATTGGAATCTATTAAATATCTAAAAGTTATTTTAATCGATTTAAATTGTTTAATTAGAAGTATAATTAAAATATAAAAACAAAAAATAAGTCGAGCTTAAAAAAAGAAAAAAAAATGCTCAGTTTGCATGAAGGATAATAATATATATTTTTCCTTTGTTAGAAAAAAAGACGAAAAATAGACTTGATTTATTATAAACGCTAAATCCCATAGGACAGAAGATATTATTAAAGAAAAAGAGATTAGTTATCCACCGACTGAATAACCACAATGATAATAATAATAATAAAAGTCCCAAATTTCCCATTCGTTATTTCATGTTCAACCTCTCCTTCTTTCCTCTGTTAATTGCAGAAGTTCCAGAAGCCGTCAAGGTCAAACGGCGCCATAGAACACGGGGGAGCTTCTTGAGAATTGTCAAACAGCCTTCGACCCATTTCGAGATTCGGAAAAACCGATGAGATTTCGTTGTTTATGTCGGTCGTCAGGCATGTTTCTTGCGAGATGCAGCTGATTTTGTCCCTCTCTGTTTTGAATGGTTCTCTTGGGTTTCCGCCATTGACTGTCTGGAGTAAAGTTCTGAGAAGGGATTGTTGCTCTTGCAAAAGAACGCAGTCAGGGAACTCCAGATTTGGGGCTGAATACACTGAATTCGTTTGTGGGTTGGGGATTACAGGGAACGAAGAAGAAGAAGACAAAGAAGCCATTGGTTCGAGCTTTCTTTGAGAATCCATGGCGGTGGAGAAGCAGGGCACGTTACCGACCGTTTGAACATCACGTTTGATTTCTCCTTTAAACGGTGATGAATCTGTTAACGGAGGAAGGATCGAATGGCCAAATTTTGATATCCCAGAGATACCCACCTTCTTCCCGTTTACATTCTTTTGAAACACTCTGCAAATCACCCATTCATTCTGCAAATCAAACACCCAAAAACCTCAGGAAAATAAACAGAGCAACAAAAAACAAACGAAATTGAGAAGTAATTCGTACCTTGGCAGTTTTGGGGAGGTTTAAAGCAGAGAGTTTACCCTCTAATCGATATTCATGCATAACCCAATCAGATTTTTCACCTTTTGGAGCTCTTCCTCTGTAAAAAACCAGAGTTTTCTTCATACCCACAAGGGATTTTCCTCTGTAAATATCTTTATCTTTCCCTGTGGCTTTCCAGTAGCCAGATTCAGTAGCTCTGTTCGTCCGCAGGCCTGTTGGGTATTTTCTATCTCTGACACAGAAAAAATACCATTCCTTTTCTCCCATTTTGGCCTTCCCTGAAACCCCCAAATCATCAGAGTTGAGAAAATAAAACAGAGGTTAAACAGAGATTAAGGGAGCTTACAAGGCAAATCCCAAGGCTCGGATTTGTTGAGATCGACATCTCCAATGGCTCTGCAAGAGAAAGCGCTGTTCATAACCTTGTCGAAGAGGTAATGGGAAATAAGCTCTTCATCGGTGGGGTGAAAGCGAAAGCCGGGAGGCAATTCCAAGTGATGTTCTTCATTCACAACTCTAACTCCATATCCGGCCATGAGTTTGAGGGTTTAGGAATATGACGAGCAGTTCCAGAGGTTTAAAAGGAGGTATAAGAAGGGAGGGAGGGAAGAAGAAGGCAAATCAAAGAAGAAACACAGCAGGGGAGAAAGAGACGGTTGGGTAAGGGGAGTGGGAAAATAAGAACGTGAAACAGAAGGGCCCTAAATAGTGGGTTTTTAAGACCATCACAAACGTGTTTTCTAAGCCAACTCTCACTGAGCTTAGTTCCAACCCATTTTTGAGCATCTCACGTCCTTATAAAACATATTTCAACGGTTGATCTTACAATTTGTCGTTTCTTTCACTTGATATCTAACTCTGATATCATCTATAACCGTCCAAGGGCTAAGACATGTTTCATGAGTTAGCTCTAATTCTATAGGTACTAGCCCAAGATCGCTACTAGTAAATATTATCAACTTTTGTCTATTACACACTAGGGTTAGCTTCACAATCACATTTTTTACAAATTAAAAAAAAAAAAAAAAGGAAAATTGGGTAGGATAGCCGACCCCTAGGCTAATAGGTATGAATTAGGATGAAGTTTAAAATTAAAGGAAATGTATATGGACATGAATTTCAAACTTTATATGGTTATATAGTAAAATACAAACTCATTTATTCAAATTATCTACCTCTTATTATTTTAATTATTATTATTATTCCATTCCCAGACAAGTTTGGTGGGACCATCCAACAAATCTCCTTTGTTTTACTAAAATAAAAATGAGCCTAAAATCAACCTTGTCTCGTTTAATTAAGGAAATTATATATATTTTGAATATTTATGCTTTGGAGCTATGTTGTGCAAATAAATCATAATTAGGGATATTTTTAATTACTTATTATAATAACGAGGCAAACCATTTATTTTAAATTTTAATCATTTTATTTTTCTCTCCCATTGGAATTTCGTGTGTAAATATAATTTTTTAAAAGTTTCTAATTATTGGGTGCAATTGTCAAACAAATAGGTGTGTATTAGTTTGACAAATGATAACACCAAGTCAAATGTCATTTTCAAAGCTTTGATTTTATGTTACTTTAGTAAATAGTAAAAACTCGGTGTTTAAAATTTTTAAATAATAATATTTTCAAATTAAATATTGCTGTAAATCAAATCTCGTGCACACGTGTGGGGAATTATGCCAATTGCCGTTGCATGTTACGGAAATTCGGATGGTCAAAGTTGGGATTTAATTTACCACGTTCCACCCTTCACCATTCTGCTTGAATTTTATACCCTCCTGATCTACGTGGCAGTGCTACCCCTTCCACAATAAAATATTAGGGTTTAGGTTAAAACTCGACTCACTCCACCATATTTTTCAATCCCACCATAATAAATCAAAATTCTAAACCCGAGTTTAACAGGACTATGACTGATTAACCTGAACCTTCCCGAACTCATTCATTCGCCTACCTTACCTATTCTTTCTGGTCTCATTGGGTCAAAAGCATATTCTTTCTCCGCCGTAACCTGACTATTTCACTCTTTCCACTTCTTGTGTTCTCTTCGAAAAATGCAAAATCAGTCAGTCAGAAGAAATTCCTTATTTATAAACTTTATGTCTAATAAAAGGCCCCCTTCGTTTCGGAATTTTCCATTTCTACATCTCTTTCTTCCGTTTCTTTCAATTTTGGTCACGGTATTATGAAATCCAATAGTAATAGTATCTTCTGATAATAGAGAGAATTCGACTTAAGGCGGGGCTTGATTCTGCTTGAAAGACTCAACAAATTCAATCAAGATTAATGCAACTATTAAAGATTAACTGGAAGCGGTTTAAGATCTAGTCGGCTTAGTTCAGGCTCAGTAGCGAAGGGGCCAAGCAAGCCACTTTAAAGAATAGAAACAGGAGAAGGAATCCTGGCTCCATTTTTGGAATTGATCTGACCCTTGAAAGTCCTCTAAAGCACTGGAGTCATTCTATACCCGAGAAGCAGGTGCACCATTTCTTTTGGGTGTGCAGATACTAAGAGTAGACTGACAGAAATAAAAGAGGTTCAAGTACTTTCAATATTGGAACAAGAACCTCACCTTGTATAAGGATTACCTGCGCGGCTATCGAATCTAAAAAAGAAACAATTTTTTAATATTTTATAAAAGTTTTTTTTGTTTTTTTTTTTTTTTGGTTTATATTAAAATCAAAAGCAAGATTAAATTGAAAGGATTATGGAGTTATCAAAGAAATCACATCCCAAAGTTAGGTATTGGTTGAAATAATCAAATATTCAGTGTGTATGGAAACACATTTATTCATATGAGATAATGTTAATTAAATATATGCTTCAAAGATAAAGCTGACCATTGCCTAATTTTAATATAAGCTTTTTTTAAAAATTTTATTTACCTAACCATCTTCTGCCATTTGCTTGTTCCCTTCCAAGTTTGCATGCTTGAAAATGATCAAACATGTGACAGCCTAACTTGGTTTATAATATCATTTTCTTTTCTTATGTATATCTTTATTCCTAACTAAACTTTATCTTAATTCAAATTGGTAGGTTCAAGCGATAAAGAAAGGCGGTTTTTTTAAATCGAGTGAAGAGAGTTTAGTCGTTGTTGATATATGTTATGGACGGATTCTACTACTAACTCATGGCCATGAACGCTAATTTATGGTTAAACCTATGTATCTGGTATGTAAAGTATACTTCCAGGGATAAATTAGTAAAACTCTTTATCGTACCACCAGAATAATGAAAGAATGTAATTCTTGACTTTGACTTACTGATAACTATTGTAAGCATTGTTTGTAATAACTACTGATAAACGAGGAGCTACTCTTTTACTTTAAGATAATGTTTATAAATAAAGACAAAAAATTATTTTTATTAATTAAGAACTAAATAATTATTTTTATTAATAAGAAGCTTTTAGTTTCAAAAACAAAGAATTAAGCACCAAACATTATTTGAATAAAACATAAATTGTCAAAAAAAAGATAATTTATTGTATGTAAAGGCATGATCAATGTGATTAATAAAATAAGTTGGATATGATAATAACATTTATTAAGATTGATTACAACCTTTATTGGCAAAATTCATTTGTCATTTGAAATATACCTTTTAAATCTCCATATTACATTAATACAAATCTAAACGTGCGTCAATAAAAGAAAATAATGTCGGGTTTAGCTAGATTGTAGGTACACGAACTTCTCTTATTAAACGCTAATACTCATATAGTAAGAGGCTTTTTTAGCAGGTTGGTTCAACCGAGAGATTCAATAGTAAGTAAATGAATGAATCAGAAGTCAAGTTTACAAGAGAACGATGACATTAGCAACGATGGTGATGCAGAGGATGCACCGACACTGTTCTCAAAGATATTAAGAGAGAAGCTTAGACTCCTGATGTTGTAACTTTCTTGGGAGTATTGTGAGCTTGTATAGCCACTGAGGAAAGGTGGAGGAAGGGAGGAGGCATTTTGATCTTATGGCCAAACGCTGAATATCCAACCCACGCTTAAGCACACTATGGATCCACAGTGGATATTCTGGGACGAGCTGGGTTTATGAACAAGCTTATCAGCTGATGAGAAGCATGCCAATGGAGTGCCGTGATATTATATGGAACATTACTCGCTGCCAATTGAGTAAGGAGCCATGTTCTTGAGATAGAGTCGGATAATAATACCAATTACGTTGGAACAGAATGATGAAGATCAGAAAATGAGTGCACAGAAACCACAGCCTTACTTGGAAATCAATCCACAGAGGAAGTTGGAACTAGAAGCTGTTGCGAAAGAAAGGAAGGTTAATATGAGATCCCACATCGGTTGAAGATTGGAGAGGGGAACGAAACATTCCTTATTATAAGTGTGTAAACCTTTCCTTGTGTTTTAAAACTTGAGGGGAAGCGTAGAAATGAAAGCCGAAGAGAACGATATCTGCTAATAGTGAGTTTTGAGTTGTTACAAATGATTTCAGAGTCAGACATTGAACGATATGTCAATGAAGACGCTCGGCTCCCAAGGGAGTGGATTTTAAATCCCACCTCGATTGGAGGGGAACAAATCATTCCTTAATAAATGCAGAAACCTTCCTAGCAAAGGCGTTTTAAAACTCTGAGGAGAAGCCTAAAAAAAAAGCCAAGACTAACGTTGGGCTTGAGTTCTTAGAACATGCATTTCAAGATCCAGTAAACAAGTAAGTAGTTTCCAGACTATTTTTACGACGGGCAACCTAGATCAGACCTTTTTTTTTTTTTTTTTTTTTTTTTATATTGAAGTCCAGACGATTCAACCTAAGAGAGCTTTTCCTTCATTTCTTTCCACTCTTTTATATCTGCTTCTATCTTTGCTTGCACACTTGAACTAAACCCTGGATATGGTTCATATTTGAATAAAGTTTGAAGAACCTGCAAATCAACCAACAGGAACAACGAAGCTACTTTACTTCATTATCCACACCAATAAACAACCCTCAGAAGATGAGAAAACCAGACAAAGAATACCTCCAAAAACACAAAGAATGGAGCCATTAGAAAGGCTTGTGCAAGATTGTCCAACAAAGCCGGTGCACGTTTCTATTGAAAAATGCAAATTAAATTAGATTCAAGAACAGACGCAATCAATTTGTCAAGATGAGTGATCTGTCTAACCTCAAACACTCCATGGCCTATAATCTGGTTTGTCCAACAGAACAGCTGAGCAGCCAGTACAACCTGATATACAACAAAAAATGAATTAGGTTAGCGTATGAAGTATGGAGCATTCCTCACGTCCTGAAATTGTTTTCTAACTGGCAAGGACTAAATGGCCTTGAAATTTTGGTGAGGCTAAGGATCTGTCATAAATAAAGAACTATTATGATTATCAACCAACTGCTCAGGCAATAAAAGCTCCTTCCATGCGCAGCAATATCAACCCCAAGTGCCGTTTCACATGGCCCCAACTTGCTGCCACTTAGATGTCAAAACTTTTAACACATCTTCCAAATCCAACCAGATTAGATCAGATTACAAGCTTATAGTGATTGTAAGCAGAGGCAAGTAAAAACCCATCAAGGAAATTTCAAGGAAGAAACTTCAGTGCACTCAATAAGAGTAAACAAACAAATTTACTACAAGAACCTGGAGTTAAATTGAAGAAGAGAAAGTGGGAATTTACCTTCCAAGTCTGGGAATAACCAAGTCTATTGGAGATGAAGCTTGCTCCAACCCAACAGACGAAACAAAGCAAAGCGGCCATGGACCCTGCTTTCTTATCGAAAATCACATAAGATGCAGCATAGGTTAAGGTGAAAAGAAATCCGAAGTTCAAAACCAGGCCATGATCAAACCCACAAGGGGATTTGGGAATCGTATAGAAAGAAGGGGTGAAATACAAATACATGAGAGTGGTGAAGAAAATCGGCCAAACAAACAGGACATGGATGAAAATGTTGACTGGGTTGCTGTGATAAGCGCCATAGAAGGCGTAGTGCCTTTCCAGATCAAAAAATGCAGTCTTCCCCATAGAATTTTGGGGGAAAATAGACAACCCCAATACGAAACGATTGCTGGAAAATGTTCTCAGAAGAGGGGAGGCGTGCAAAGGGAGATAACCGAATAGATTAAGAGGGTTAGACAATTGTTAAAAGGATGTGTTTATTGGGGCCATTAATAATTCGAGAAGGTGAACTTAAGTGGAGTAATTGGGGTGGTTAACATAAAAAATGGACCAAATTCTGGAATGGTCCTTCTAATCTATTAATTTACATAATGAAAATAAATGTGCGTGATGCATATGCGAAGCAAAATTTGGTGGTTTCTGTTCAACTGTAATTGAAGAAACGTTTGGGCCAAAAGAAAAATAAATATTAGGGAAGGCAGAACAGAACGACTTTGTAGACCTTGGCAGGGTAACCCGTGATACTGGCCCAACGCTCTAACCAGCTTGAGTTAATAGGCCAATTTTGAAGAACCTTAACAACACGTACCGTCGCTCTAAATTGGACCAACATGACGAATTAGGGGAAGTGGTTCGAGGGATTTCTCGGCTATGACGATTATGCCGAACAGGGAAAGTGTGGATAGAAATGGTTCTCTTATCCATTCTTTCTTCTCCAGGAAGAATAAGATTCCAAAACCCAGGTAAAGGTACATTATTTTCTTCTGCAATAATGGCTAAGGCTATCGCAGGCTTCACCATTATCAAACAAACCCTGTATAGCTCCTCTAATCTCCACCCACACAAATCGGCCCACATCCCATATTCGACACTGGTATGTATGCTAATCCTTTTTCCTTTTTGTCTCAAAACTCTTATCCATTTTAACGTGATCGATTTGACCTTTTTATTACAATTCATGCAGCTTCCAAAATCTGGAGCTTTCAGCCAACGACAACTTGTAAGTAGCTCTTGATTCTCACATTCAATGGTTAGGAGAAACGGGTTTTCTTTCGCCTAATATTTGTTAGTTCATCCATATGTTTTTGTGAAATAAATAGCCTGAATGTTCAAAGCGCCAAATAGGGTCTCTAGGGAGAGTAAATGCTTTCCCAGATTGGACACTTATGGCAGTTCTAGTTGATCACTTGGACGGACAAAGAGACCTTGTTACCCACAAATCCATAGTGCATCTTAGTGATGAAGCTATCAAGAATGTCTGTAAGTGTTTGATTATAGCTGACTTTTCTGTAGATTGTAAGTTACAATTAGTAAAACTAACCTTCGTTTTAACCATTGGTTAATGTCAGATAGTCTTTACATCATGTTCACTTGTTGGGGATGTCTGTTCTTTGGCTCCATGAAGGTAAACCATATCCTTAGTTTCATTCTGCTTGAGTTACGTATAATAAAACTTTTGTCTCAGGCCTTCAAGGTTATGTTTTTAGGATCCATATTATGATTCAGAGGTGTACAGAAAAGATGGAGGCGATGGAACAGGACATTGGGTCTACGAGAAGGTGAATTATCCAACTCCGGAACAATGACACCATAATTTTCACTCAATTATTTTGCCTTAGTTTCTATCTGATATTGCAGCAAGAGGACATTGAAGAAGCAGCAAGAGCAGAGCTATGGAGGGAGGAGCTGATTGAGGAGATTGAACAGAAGGTTGGAGGACTTCGAGAGTTGGAAGAAGCCGGAAAGAAATAAGAGATGAACGAGATTTTGGGCATCCATTTATGTTCTTAATACAGCATATTCATTATGCGTATAAAATCAAAAGCCTTGGGCTTCATTGAAATACTCTATGGTTGTGTTTCAGTAACAATCTCACAGTTCCTTCCCAGTAGAACAGAGAACAAAATGTAAATCAGCAGAAACCATCGAAAACGTATAAAACATCAGTTCTTTCTTTATTCAAAGAATTTGCCTCAGAGGTAGTGACAATCTTGTATTATCATCACTCTTGTATCTGGTAATACGTGCAATTCAATACATCACAGGCAAATTTCGAGATTATAAAGATTTCGGTTCAAAAAGAGTGAAAGAAGAAGGATATTAGAACAGAAGAAATGAAAATCTTAGGTCGTAAGAGCATCAGAGAGATTCCCAACAGACGATCATCATTCTCAAGCTGAGTACTGATGTCCCTGTCTATTTCATCGTCACTTGCTCAATTGATCCAAAAGACGAATCATCAAATCTCGACGAAATGAAAAACACAATAGAACAAGTTCCATGAAAAGGCAGAGCCTCAATGCTTCAGATTAAGTTCATTTCAGAGAAACAAATCTGGAAAGCATGAAGACGACGTGAGAAAGAATAACAACTACGACAAAAATTAAGGATTGATTCAAGTGAAAGAAGAAACGAGACAACGGATTGATCTCAAGAATGGAACTTCAAAAAGAATGAAAATGCAGTTAAATATGAAACGAATTGAGCTAGGGTTTTCGGTACGGCGTTCAATAATCACGACCGTTGATCAAACGAAGCGAACATGGATTTCGACGGTCCAATATGAAATCTAGAGCCCAATAACGAGGCCCATTATCTGTTCTGGACCCATTGGTTGTATTTACTTCAAATTTATTAAATTGAATAATTATATTTAATTTAACAATAAAAACTTGAGTTATGTGTATTTATTTTTAAGAAGGCAGTCGCAGTTGAACATATGAGGGAGAAATTTTAAGGATTTTTATATCTTATAGTTATTCGGAAGCACATAACTTTTTACGATAAGGTTGGTAGTATCGGCTTAACCTAACATCTTTCAGTCGACTCTTCACGTTGAAATACACATGTAAAACGATCAGTTTTGAGAGAGAGAACTCCATCGGTTCATGTTTATCGTTATTGTTGGAAAGACCACAAAAGAAAAGACGATATGGGTTTTGGAAGATAGAAAGAATCTTTTGGAAAGAGTTGATCAAAGGCTAAAAAGTGGTGATATGGTAGTTTGAAAAGTTAGATATGAAAGAGGGTTTAAATTGGTGAGTATCTTTTAGGAAAGGGGTTGGGAGAATTGGTCAGAGAGAAATGTTAAATGGGTTTTGGTTTGTAGTTTAGGTTCTGTGCCCATCAAAATGTATCTCTACTCTGAAACCCACAAAATGAAGTGACCAAAACAGAACAGAAGATGAGAGAGGACAACAGAGGAGCACAGGCTCTACACACTTTGTTTTCTGCACACAACACAACACAACACAACTGCACTCCAACACACCCACCCCGTCCGTGTCCGTGTCCGTGTCGGTGCCACCCCATCACTCGCTTCCATCAAACTACACCCCCTTTATATGAATCTAGACATCGATCATACAAAATAAACTTCAAAGAAGATGGGAAGAAAATGTTGTTCAAACTATCATTAGTAATGTATTTTAAGGCTATATTTACATAGTGGCTAATTATTGTTACAACTCTTATTCATGGAAGGTTCGATTTTGAGGCGGTATAAACCTATGTATAGTTTAGACTGCATGTTTAAAATCATTTAAATTTGATATAAGAACATAATCCGTGTTCTCAGGAGAACACGGTCGATCCCATCTCTTCCCAAACCTAACATGCCCGTTTACCATCATATGACTTTCTATCGATAGATGGAGTCATTACCGAGAAGCTCGTAGAGAGATCAATTCACTGCTTGTATGATTAAAAAAAAAAAGGTAAGAAAATAGATGAGGAGATAAGGGAAGGGAAGGTGGTGAAAATAATTGGAGAAAGAAAGCAAAAGTTGTTACAGATATGAAGAGTGAAGTGGAAGGCATGACCTGTAATTTCATAAACAAATGGAGGATGGTAAAGCTAAAGCCAAGGAGAGTCCCACAGCCCTAAACCCTAAACTATTACTCATTAAATTATTATTAAACAAAATTAAGTGTTAATCTTATAATTAAACTCCGAATTAATTATGGAATTGTTCTTTGGAAGGCAAGGACAAACAAAGCTGCATGCATGACATCATCCACGTGTAGTGAGTATTAGAGAGACCTTTCCGATGATGTTAAACGACAAGTTTTTTCATTGGAGGGTTCATGTCGTTTCTTCATGCAATGCTCCAAAGTCCAAAACTAAACTTGTTCTTGTTGTTACCATTTGAATTGGATATGTTTTGAAGATCCAATCAGATGTTGACACGAGAGAGACAGCACAGTCGAGTGAAAGGGGAATGATTCTTGTGATTGTTCGTTCACGAGTGCACTGTTGATGGAATATAATACCCTAAACCCACTGCTAGTAGATATTATCTGTTTTAGCCCGTTACTTATTGTCATCAGCCCTACGACTTTAAACCGCATATGTTAAGAAGAGATTTCGATACCCCTATAGAAAATTCGTATCACCGTCAGTCTCACAGTTTTAAAATACACATGTTAAGGAGAACTTTTGACACCCTTATAAAAAATACTCTGTTTTCCTCTTCAACCAATGTGAATTTCACAGTCATCCCCTTAAGAGTAGCACACCCCTCATGTTTAACTCTAATACCATGGGATCTCACAATATATCTCCTTGATACCATTTGTAACAACTCAAGTTCACCGATAGCAAATATTGTTTGTTTTGGCTCGTTACTCAGCCTCACAATTTTAAAACACTTCTATTAGGGAGAGATTTTTACACTTTTATAAAAAATACTTGGTTATTTTCTTCTAACCCATTCGAGACCTCACATGAAAATAATGATACAACCTTTTAGTTTGGATAATGGATTCACCCATTTGTTCATGAAACTTAGTTAGCTTGCACGGATTTCAAAAAAAAAATAGAATTTAGTCCCTAGATATGAGTTTGTATGGTTCAAACAGCTCTATTTTAGTCGAACCCAATGCAGCCCTTTTTTCATGAAAAGAATAAGGTAGGTTGCATCATGGTGTCCAAATTGAACGCCTTTCTTTCCATGTTTTAAATTGATTTTGGCTCCACGGACCAAAAAGTGCACACATTTAAATTTTTGAACGAGTCCTACATGAACTTCCATTTTGCTTTCCCATGCCTGAATGCTTAAGCATATATTCAAACAGCACGCCTACGCAGCTAATGCTTTACAACCAAGAAATGATACAAAAAAAAAAGGCCCAAAAGGAAGGGTTGAAATCCTTTTAAGAGGGAAGGCTAACAAATGAAGCGAAGGATATGGCATTATCAAAGCAAAAGGGTATGGGCATAGCATTAGCTGCGCAATTAACTGTCTCTAACTGTCATTAAAGCTAAAGGTTGACCACTTTTTTGGGTCTCTAAACGCTATTAATTGTTGGAAGGTTGAGTTCTTAACCATGTTTATGGCCACAAAGTGATGGAACTCCTTGAACAATACTTCAGAAACCACGTGGTTTCATGAAAAGTTGTTATCCCCCACCATAGACAGCAACCGTCTGGACATGGCAGTTTGAGGGGCCCCCACACGTCGGTTGTTTGCTGTGGCGTTGGGTAAAGCAATCGCCAAATAACGTTTCTGGTCTCTCCAGTTTCTCTATATATGCCCCACCTTCCTCCCCTGGCCTCCCCAACGAAACCCTTCTTCTTTGCCACTTTTTGGTTCTTTTTTCTCTCAGGCATTTTCACAAACAGGTTGTGGATCATTTGAAGAGGTCAGTTAATCTCTCTATTTCCCAGCTTTTTAGGGTGATTTAGAGTTTTTCTTTCGAGGGGTTTACTGTTTTTTGTGTAGGAAAATGGCGTTTCTTGGACCTCTCTTGGTGGGTCTTCTACTCTCTTTGGGATGTGATTCTGTTCATGCCAACAATGGAGGTTGGACTGATGCCCACGCTACGTTCTACGGTGGGGGCGACGCTGCTGGCACAATGGGTACGTAAAAAAATCAAAACTTTCTACAATTTGAACACATTTTTACAAAACCCATAAGTTGAAACTAGTTTTTTTTTCTGGGTTTTTGCAGGAGGAGCTTGTGGCTATGGGAACCTGTACAGCCAAGGGTATGGAACGAACACAGCGGCATTAAGCACAGCCCTGTTCAACAATGGGCTGAGCTGTGGAGCTTGCTTCGAAATCAAGTGCGTAAATGATCCAAAATGGTGTCTTCCAAACTCCATTGTGGTGACTGCCACAAACTTCTGCCCACCAAACAATGCACTCCCCAACAACGCCGGCGGCTGGTGCAATCCTCCCCAGCACCATTTCGACCTCTCCCAGCCCGTCTTCCAGCAAATCGCTCAATTCAAAGCAGGCGTCGTCCCAGTGGCTTACAGAAGGTATGAATATACGCCCTTCTAGACTAATTCGCTCAATGCTGAACTCAAAAGCTGAATCGAATATGCAAATGCAGGGTGTCTTGTCAGAAGAAAGGAGGCATAAGATTCACAATAAACGGGCATTCGTACTTCAATTTAGTTCTTGTAACGAACGTTGGTGGAGGTGGGGATGTTCATGGGGTATGGATCAAAGGGTCGAAAACAGGGTGGGAAGCAATGTCGAGGAACTGGGGGCAGAACTGGCAGAGCAATTCATATCTGAATGGACAAAGCCTGTCGTTCAAAGTGATCACCGGCGATGGCCGGACGGTGATATCCAATAGCGTAGCACCAGCTGGGTGGAGCTTTGGTCAGACTTATAGTGGGCTTCAGTTCCCATGAAAGTGAAGAAAAAAACAGAACAGAACAGAACAGAGGCGTTACTTTTTTCTTTGTGTTTTTCCTTACTTTATAGGAAACTGTGTTAAAAATAGGTGTTTTTGGAATGGGCACGGCTTTTAATGTGTTCTTCCAGTGTGGTCTGTGGTTCAGAATTAGTAGTTTAGAGGGAGTTTGTTTGAATATTATTATGTGGGGTTTGGGTCTGGTCTTGGGGTCGTTCTGCTTGTGTGTGTGTTTTAACGCAATGGCAGAGAGAGGATACTGGCAGCGGTAGGCATTTCACACCCGCCACTTTGTTTCTTGTGTTAGCTTAGAGCTGTGTGGGGTTTATATAATATAAGTTTAGTGTTAGGTTGTTTGTTGGTTCAGTTGTTTTCTTCTTTGTTTTTCTGGTTTTATCTTAAATATATGCAAGTTTGTGTTAAATGAGATGTTCAACTTATAAGTAACATATAAATGAGGGACTTGTTAAATATAAATTAGTTCCATCGTCTATCTGACAAGCGGTGAGACCAAGAAGTTGGTATTCGGGCCAAGAGGTAGAGGGTTATTAAAGGTAAACAAAGGAGATCATGTTACTAGTGTGAGATCCTACATCGCTGGCAGAGAGAACGAAACATTTGTGTGTACAAGGGTGTAGAAATCTCTCTCTAGTAGACATGCTTTAAAACTGTGAGACATGTGACGATATGTAACGGGATAAAGCGGAGAATATCTACTAGCGGCTGCTTGGACTGTTACAAATGGTATCAAAACTAGACACGGGTGGTGTGCCGGAGAAGGGATCTTTCACATTTTAAAATCACGAGCCCGACGATAATATGTAACGGACTAAGGTAACGGTAACTTGAATGGTTACTGTTTGTTTTTGGAGAATTTAAGAAATTACAGAAACGTCAAGGGATGATATTCCCTCGATTTAGAATATGAATTCGACGCTTGATTGCATGTTGCCAGTGCCGAAATAATATTCACACCTTGGGCTTTGACTTTGGTCATTGGGTTCTCTGGGCTTCAAATGCGTTGTCTAGCCCAACTTTGAGGCCCAACTTTGATACTGGGCCGCTGAAACTTCGGAAAGACAATCTCAAGCCCAATTAGACTAGATAATAGAGATAAAATATTTAAAGATAAAAATATTTTCAATCATAAACATTTAATATTTAATATATAAAACTATTTTGTTGGTGTGGAGTTGAGATTTCATCTGATGAAAGAGCCAGCTGTCGATCTCAGATTGGAAAGCCACGATTCCACGTGGGTATATTTCCACAATCGTATCTCTTGAAGAACACCCTCCACGTAGGACAGACATGACCCCACAGTATCATAACCCATCCAATGAAAACATAGAAACATATTGAAAGATATTACTCAAAAGGATAAAGCGATAAGCCCCATCGTTTCCTTGACCGTTAGATCCTGAGAATCTTGTCGATCCACCGTCGGATCTGAAGAGCGAACGAGAACCACAAACACGGCGTTGAAGCGAAGTTACAAAGGCCTGCAATATCCATTTTCTTCCTCAACCCCAAGAAAAGATCATTAAGGAGAAATGGCCACCGTCACCACTCAAGCTTCCGCCGCCGTTTTACGGCCATTCGCCTCCCGATCGAGGTTCCTTACTGGGTCTTTCGGTAAACTCCACCGTGAGCTGTCGGTTAAACCGGTGGCTGCTTCATCGCCTTCATCTTTCAAGGTTGAAGCCAAGAAGGGAGAATGGTTGCCTGGTCTGCCATCTCCGGCGTACTTAAATGGCAGGTAAAGCCATAAACATAATTTAGCTCCTTTTATATTCAGATTCGCAATAATTTAATCCTTCGCATAAAATGTAGTCTTGCAGGCGACAACGGATTCGACCCACTGGGTTTAGCGGAGGACCCAGAGAATCTGAGGTGGTTCGTGCAAGCGGAGCTCGTGAACGGGCGGTGGGCGATGCTGGGTGTGGCCGGAATGCTTCTGCCGGAGGTTTTCACGAAGATCGGAATCATCAACGCACCTCAATGGTACGACGCCGGAAAAGCAGAGTACTTCGCGTCATCTTCAACTCTGTTCGTGATCGAGTTCATCCTGTTCCATTACGTCGAAATCCGGAGATGGCAGGACATTAAAAACCCAGGAAGCGTGAACCAAGATCCCATTTTCAAGCAATACAGTTTGCCCCCAAATGAAGTGGGGTACCCTGGTGGTATTTTCAACCCCCTGAACTTCGCTCCCACTCTTGAAGCCAAAGAGAAGGAAATCGCCAATGGTAAGATCTTCAAAAAGAAAACCCAGATTTTAGATTTTGATCTTAGGAGCTGTGGCTTACGATGCTGTGAATTGGGTTTTTGGTACAGGGAGGCTTGCAATGTTGGCGTTTTTGGGGTTCATCGTGCAACATAATGTGACCGGAAAGGGGCCATTTGAGAACCTTTTGCAGCACATTTCTGACCCATGGCACAACACCATTGTCCAGACATTCAGTGGCAACTAAATTTGGGTTTGAAGATTGTTGTTGAAATGAACTTGAAAAGAATTGTTTTGAGAGAGTGTGTTGCAATGGGGAATGTGGATATCCGTGTACAGGGGTGGGCTTGGATGTTGTTGTTTAAATGACATGATCATGATCCTTCACTCATGAATTGGGGTATCACCTCCTTCAACAACATTCATCTTTTTAATATTCAAATCAACTTTGGGGATGTTACACCAGGCTTGGCAGTACAAATTTGTGGCTTAGCTTATATTACAATCCCATTAGCTTACTATTTTGGCCAAATACTCTAATGTTAATGTTAGTTTCATGAGCGAGTCAACTATTTATAAGAAATTCCTCGAGAATTAGTTTGGCAAATTGTTACTCGATTGGTTATGTTGGACTTGTTCTACCTAAATGTCGCAACCAAAATATTCTAATACCAATAGTTATAGTCGGGAAACAAAATCAATCGCACTTTAAAATCCATGGGCAGTAACAAATCACAGTAACCAAAGTGTTTACAGATGTATTTCTCACGGTACAAAATCTCACTTTCAAAGTTTCTCTCAATTCATGACAAATACAAAATAAAATTACTTTATATCTTAAAATAATACTACTCAAACCTTTACCGTGACATAATGTTATATATAATTCAAGATGATTCACCAGATGAATTGATTTTTTTTTTTAAGTTTAAAATTATTTTTTATATTAGAGTATATATATATATATATATATATATGTGGTTAATTTAGTTGCACAAAGAAATTAAAAAAAAATGATGAAAAATATTTAATAAAGTCGATTTTATTTTATTTTATTTATTTATTTTTATTTTTTTGGGGAATTATTCAATAATCCTTTGACGACACGTCGTTTAACAAGTGAAACGAAACAAGGGCCACTTCCCATTATTACCGCTCAAATTATCCGCCAACGACCGAATGATGAGATGAGGTCGAGCAAAGAATCGAAGAAGAAAACTCGCCCCTCATCACCTCTCAGGGACCGAACCAGTCCTTCAACGAGGTTCGAATCGAGACGTCATGGGTCTAACTCATCGAGGCTCAGCCCCTCTACTTCCCTTCTGGACCGTGACCTTGTCACCAGCGAAGCCAATCTCCTCGGAGACCTAAAACTCTCTCCCGACGACTCAGTTTCAGACTACAATCCCCGGAGCTTTCCTTACAGTGTGAAGCAGCAATGTTGGGATAAGGCCGAGAAGATTAAAGGAAGGGACCCAGATCGGTGGCGCCGAGATGCTCTTGGTAACACTGTTTTCCGAAAGCTTGTTGGCTGCCCCGGTTGTCTTTGTCATGACTATGATCATATTTTGCCTTACTCTAAGGTACTTCCCCTTATCGATTCTACTCTTTGCTCCAGATGTTTCGTTGGTATTCCTCATTTTTTTTTTTTTTTTTTTTTTTTTTTTTTTTTTTTTTTTTTTTTT